CATTACTTGTTTTCTTTTCTCATAAGACTTGGCTTTTGAATTTAGGATTATTTCTTACTGAAATTATAAGAAATCCGGTAGTTTGGGGTTTTTTTGTTTGTTTATTAATTTTAGGTAAAACTGAATTGCTCAGTGTTAATAAAAACATTAAATTCATCAGGTGAAGTAGCCTCTCATACTTACGGGCTAAAGAAACATTTCCAGTTCAAGACCATATATGGTGACACCATGTTTGAGGGAAAAGACCAAATAAGGAAAACTTTGTGAAAAACTTTTGTTCTTTCATTTTGAATTTAGGGGCACATGAATAAAATATTAATATTTTTCTGCAATTCAAAATTGCCCCTTAATTTCACACATAGCATTTTTAAAAAGAAAATGCCATATTGATTGCTTAGAATGTGAGAAAAATGTAAGTTATTTTCCACCAGAGACAGCTGAAATTGAGAAAAGTGTAAAGTGCAGGATGCATTACTTGTTTTCTTTTCTCATAAGATTTGGCTTTTGAATCTAGGATTACTTCTTACTGAAATTATCTTATAAGAACTTTGGTAGTTTTTTAAAAAAAAAACAAAACAAAACAAAACAAAAAAACAACCAAAAAAACACATCTAGTATGACTCTGGAGAGGACAATGTGACCAGAAGTATCACAGACTTGACGGTATGTAAGGAAAAGGAAGCTCTTTGATAATACAATTACCAAACAGCACAACTTGAGAATGCAAGTCTTCAGAGATCTCACTTCACCTCAGGGAAATTAGTGTTTCCAATGCCCGGCCACAGCTACATCTGCTAAATGCTTTTGCATTTGTTGGAATCTACTTTGACAGTCACGGATTGTTTTACAGACAAGTAATGTCATTTCCTCTGAAAGGAAGCATTTAAGATGGAGTTTTCTAGGCTACATTCTTCATTATCAGAGAAGCTGAAAAAATAGATGCATCTTCAAGTACACCATTTGAAAAGTAAGAAAAAAAAATAGAGAAACTCTAAAAACACTTCTCTTGGAAAAGAGTATTACAATCCCAACAAAAAAAAAAAAAAAAAAAGAGCCATACAGCTTGCATCTTAAAAACCCTAAAGGCCCAAAGGAAGAAGATCACAAGCATGGTTTGATTAAAGATATCAAGATTATAAACATGCTAAGAAAGGTAAAAACAACCAGTAAAGTAGAACCTCAAAACTGTTTCTATCCTTACCTTCCTTACCTGGGTATGCTGCCATCAGGGCAGACATTCTATTTTGAGGGTTTTGTCTTTCCAGAAGATTTGAAGATCTGTTCAATTGATTTTCTAAGACATCTTGAACCACAGAGTCATCAGCATATTCACTTAAGCCTCTGTCAATAGTCCACTTTCCATCTCCTGAATGTCAACAGCATTGGAGGAAAACATTTGCACGTATTGTGATAATGTATTTACTGTTACTATAATTGCTACATCGAATGTACAACTAAAAGAAGCAATAAAACAAGTTTTCTTAACATTATGTGAAAAAAATTATATAGCACACTAAGTACCTTAGGTTAAAAAAAACCTAGGTTGATATATTGATGTAAACTACCACCACAAGGTACTGAGTTTATGACAGTAACCCCAAAGTGATTTTAAGGTAGATCCAGGTAGAGCAGTTACATGAAGAGAGGTGTTCCAGAGGCAGTTCACAAAGTGCATTTAATCAATACCATTACCTGAAAATGAAATATTATCTTTTGCAGCATTCAAATCAGCACAAAGTGAAGATGATGCTTTGGGCATTCCTTGTTTAGGGTTTACACCTAAAGCAAAGAAACCTTCAAGTCCCCAATTCAACGCAGAAACACATTTCTCTCTTCGGGCCACTTCCTGTAATGACTTGAATAAAACACAAAAACATCAAAAAGAAAAAGGCTACATACAACTCCCTTGGAAGTTTATATTAATAAAATGATCATTTCACAAAACATGGAATGATTCTAATTGCCTTATGTAATTGATGCTTTTTCTATAATGTTGATGGCTTTAAGTGCTTTCAAAACCTACAGACTCCAGTTGTTATGTGACAAGAGTTTTCCATCTCTCCTTCCTCTGATTGAACATAGCAATGAGAAGCTGCCTTTGCTTGCTTGCTTTTATTTATCTTTGTTTATATCAAGAAAAGCAATACTTACTGCCTCATAATGACATCAAATCTAACAGCCCTGTCTTCAATTACTATTGACTTCCAACTTTCTTTTCAGCAGAAGAATACATGAATATTTTAGATTCGATAAGAGTATCTCCAATTCATCATATCCAACCGAGAGGAAGCAGCCTCAGTATCAACATGTGAAGAGCAGGGTGCTTTGCTTTTGTAGTGTTTTTTGTTTTTCTTTTCTCCTGACTTTCTCTCGACAGAGACCAGTCTATCTTTTTTTCCTTTTTGGAACAACTACCAACCAAAGACTGACAATACAGAAAGACATGAACAAAAGCCTTTTTATCCTCCCAAGATGAAACAAGCGATACAGTAACAAACCTCTCCAAGTAAAACTATCCTCCTGATCGTTTTTCCTTTGTGGGTATATTTTGCAGGGGGTGGTAGGGAAGGGGGAGCCATATATGTAGGAAGGAGGAAGAGGAGCACAGTGTTTCATAGAATCCATACAATTGTTAGTATCTCTCAGCTGATTTGGAAAATAAATAGGCAACATAGTTGATATATTTAGCAACTAAAGATATAATATTTTACCGCTGAGGACTGGCTACGCTCATGAACCTCTGTCTTCCCATAATTGTGTCTCAAAGAGATATTTGTTGCTTACTGGTTTAGTAGGGTTAGGGATCTTTTCATATACTTTAGAGCCAAGCATTCTTCCCACAGTCTTGACTTTAATACTTTCCTTGGACACTACATTTCTTTCAAGACAATTGCAGAAAACTCTTTTTTCTGTAAGAGTTCAAATAAAATAATTAACAGGGGAATATTTAATGGAAATTTATATTAGTTATAACCTGTAAGCCTACACAATTGCTCTTCACAAATTCAAAACAAGAACCTTCTGTTCAAGCTAGCCCTAAGGCATAAGAAAATAATAATAATAATAAACTTTCAGCATCTTCCAGATCTGACAACTGAGCTGACTGACTGCTCAGTAGTATTTGCTCTACATCCAGTGGCTCCATTTCTGTATGTTGTTGCCCATGAACACATTAGATCTTGATAATATTTTTAACATACTTCCAAGTACTTCTTGATAGTTTTGCCTTTTTGCTTTTAAAATGCTCTATAATCTAACTAGAGACATCTTAAGAACTGCAATAGTAGCATTTACTTAACACTTCTTTAAAAGTAGCTTGTACATCGTTTAAAAAAAATCATTAAGATTTTTTTCAGGCAATTATCTTGGTTGATTATCACATCCTATGTGACTATGACAAAACTATGTAATACAATTCTGCAGAGCAGAGAAGAGGCTTTCAAAACTTACCTTGAGAAATTTCTTTAGGAAAAATAGGACTTCTATCATGAAGAGATAAAGGACTTTGAGTGTCAGCTGTAGAATCTAAATGACCAAATGACTTTCTTGTTACACCTACAATTTGTGTTGGCACAAGGTCTGGTACTGTGCTCCTCTGGTCTGAAGTTGCTGCACCACTGTGAGGAGGGGACAGGAAAGACCAAAAGAGCAAAATATAACAAGGTAGATCACATCACACCATAGATAAATTTTAGGAAATCACAAGAACTGCACATGCACCGTTAGCAACACAGGTCCATTTATGAGGAATCTGTGTGCCTGCAATTACACGATTAATCACACGACAGGATCTTTAAAGCACACAGCATAACACAGCCCAGATACAGATCCTACTGCGATTAAAAACATGCAAAAGAAATTTCATCTGTAATTCAAGACCTACACATATGAAGAAATGCAACTTACATGATTTAACATTTGAAGGGATAAAGCAAACAATTTTCAAAGCAACAATTCTCTAACTACAGAGATAGTCGAGGACACAAACTTAGTATTTACCAACTTTAATGGTAAGTGCTTCATATGTCTCTTAACTGATAAATTGTTTTTAGAACTTCTTATAAAATATTTGTTAGATCACTAGGTCATTCACAAAAGGAAAACTTTGAAGATGACAGAGTCATCACAGACAGAATCTTGGAAAAGCACTGAACTGAAGGAACTGAAAGAACTGACAGCATCATAACATTAGCACAGGCTGTGTCTTATGATAAGGATGAGAAGAGGAATTTCCCAGCCATGCCCTAAAGCATTTTGCAGTCAAGGAGTCTCCAAGATTCACAGGAAATGATTTTCTGAAAAGAGCTTGTTATTTAGGAACGCAACTATTTCAGAAGCAAGATAGGATTACTCCCTCTTCCAAATAATCTCTGCATTTCTGATACCTTCCAGACTGCTTGAGTGGTTCAGTTTTTCTTTGCTTATTCATTCCCATAGCCCCAGCTTCCATCACCAAAAAGTTAGATGATTGGTCCAAGTCCTTGTCATAAGACTAATCAAAAAAATAAATACATATTCAGCAACAGATTAATATTCCAAAAATACTAACTCAAGTGAGTAGAAGCCTGTAAATTCTCTTTTGTACAATTTCTATACAAATTGGGGTTGTTGGACACAAAATAAAAGAATTATGGGGAACCTTCTGCAATCTACTCTTTCCACATATGTAGTGTGGATCAACACCATACCAAATAAAGTTCTTACTAGATATTTAGTTGCTGCTAATTTAAATTTTTAACATGTCAATCTGATTAAAAAGCACAGGCCTTTTAAAGCAAATCATCTTTGCAGTGATCCTATGTGCATAAAGTCATTCATTACATACTTACACCATCAAGGATCTCAATTTTCAGAGAGGATTCTGCCCTCTCAGAAACAATGTTGGGTTCTTTCTCTTTAAAAAGAGCTGCCCAATATCTCTTCATATCTTCAACTACAAAATATAACAACATTTGATACACTCACTTTTTCCAGCTTTAACCATCTCATACATCTACAAAATTTCGAGTATTTTACTTATTATGAAGCAGCATAAGAATCTCCTGATACATTTTTTCAGGTAGAAACTAGTCTGTGACTGCTTAGTAATCAGAGAGAGGAAAAATATTCCCCCCCAAAAAAGATCCTTAACAGCTAGACTCAGAAAACAGAAATCCAATACACCTGTTGAATAGTCATCATCATCACTGTCATCATCATCTCCTTTTCCACCTCCTTCTTCGCCAAACACAGCAGCCTGATGTTCATTAAGTGCTTGGACAGGCCTTAAATCATTAACCTGATTACTAGAAACTTCATTAATAGGAGTTCTAAAAAAGAAAAAAGGAAAAAAATCTTTAATACATATAAAATAATGATGCTTTTTATCTCAGCAGTACATACTCAATATTTACTGCTACTGACAAGCAGCAACTTCTGATTTCATCAGTTTCCCCTCACGCTTCAGGGATTAACAAGATATCCCCCTTATGTTTAGAAATAAGTATCCTGAAGATCATAATTCCTTTCCTCTATGAAACCTCTTCAATTAGAAATGCCCCTAAAACAAATTGTCAAGTACTTCAAAAGCTGCAACAAACAGAGCAGAGAATGCTTCAAATTTCTCCTCCTGGAGTAGCTCTGAAATATTTGGTTACCAAATCTGGTTACAATTATTATTTTAATTAAAATACCCTATATACAATCATTTTAATTAACAAAATTTCATCAAAACTTTGATACAGTATCGAGAGTTCATGTTTAAGGATTTTTCACTTCTTACATTAGTAATTTCAATACCTTCTGTGCTTCTTAAGCAAGAGTTTTTCCATGTAGCTCAGACCATCCGCCTTGAATTCAACTTGGATAGGTTCTTTCATCAGAGTAAGGTGGGTCTGTACTTCACAAACTCCCACAGATGCTACTAAAATAATAAATATGTATACAGTTATTCATTTAAAGTTTGCTATGTTATTTTTAAATGAATACCACATTCCATGACTCCACAAATAAATCCCCACCATGCCATAAAAAGGAAAAAAGTATCACTAGGATGTGTAGGAAAATTACAGAAAGAATGAACGCTATCCAGGGGGTAGAGGTCAGAGACTATATTGGAGAAATCTAAGCAGACAAGCGTGGGTTTTTTTCCTATTTTTTTCAGGCATACTTCAACAGAATGCATTTTTTCACTGAGACAGACAGATAAAAGTCTGTGGAAGGCAGACAATGTACTTTGACAGCTGAACACACACAGTCTTAAGACATGAACGTATCTGTTTTGTGAAAATAGCAAGTTGCTCGTTTTCTACAAATTGAAGTATTTACTTTAAGAATGAGTATTAGCTCCAAAACACTTTTAAAGTACAATTAAGCCAGAATAACTTCATACCTGGCAGCACCTCACTGGAATTCAGTGCAGTTCTGTGATCACAGTATCTATTTCTCCATTGCATCAAAGCTTCCTGAAAAGATTGTGTAGATTCTTCCTCATTAAATGCACCCTGTAGTAATAACCCAGTCTCCTGTTTTTTAAGGCCTGTCTGTACTGATTCTGCGGGCTGGAAACAGTTTCACTTAATTAGTTAACACAGCTCTCTGATGCTAACCCCTCTTCCCAGCTATATACAGCAGTAACAACATTTTTACTATCAACAGCACCAATGTGGCACCCCATTCCCTGTGCTTAGTTTAACTATCATGGAAATCAAATCATCCAATTGCTAAATATGTTCTATCAAGAGCATACTAAAAATACAAAAATACAAAATAAATAAAAATAATTTATATGTTTTTAGTAGGCAGAAAGCACTAGCCACAGCCTATATCCCTAGTTATATCAGAGACATGAAACAGTGGGAAACTTCCAGTTTTCCAACATGAGCTTCTGTCTGTTAACAGAATGATTAGGAAATCATTAATTTATTCTAAACACACATATAAACTTTCCACGGAACATAATAAAATAGCAGAAGGGAGCACAGTGATGGTGACAGAATCACCTAATTTCAATATTGTGCTCATGGAATTACGCTGCACTACATAGTGAGCACAAGTATAAGTAAGAATTCAGTAACTTAAGTTGTCCTCTGTGACATCAAATGGAATATTCCAGTAAAGTGTTTTATATGGAATGTGACATAGCCTATAAATTAGTTTAAATTATATGTAATTACATACAATTAATTAATGGAGTTCAGTCTGAGCATTCTGCTTAATGAAGCTCTTCGCTAGAGACAGACACTCTAACAGTTAACAAGATTAACTGGAGTACCAGTACACGTTTAAAAATTAGTCTAGGAAAGCTCAAATTATAAATAATTATATGAGTCCAAGTTTAGCTTGAAAAAAAAGCAACCACTGCCAAACTAGAGAGTTTGGTCACTTGTCCTTTCCAACTCTTTCATTCCACTGGACCCAGAGGCTTTGACCCTGCATCACCAACCTACTGTTAACACACAGAGACCACAAAAGCACATCCTTGGAGAAAGGAACAGGGAGAGCTCCCTCTGTATTGCCTTACTCCTTGGCTCATTCCACCCCCACGTACCACGCATCTCAAAGTAGCTAAGGATAGTGTTGATTTCTTTTTAACCACAAGAAAAAAATACAAATAAAAAAAGGAATCATAGCTACCATTTTCTATTCTAAATGCAAAAGATCATTTTTCATATCGCATTACTTACTGCACTCTCGTTAGCTGCCTTTATTAAGAGGACAGCATTACTAATTTCAGAGCAGAATTGGAGAGAAGAGAGAAACAGACAATAGATGGAAAAAAATATTAGCAGGATAGTTTAGATTTAGTCATTCCCAATTTAAATGGAACAAGCACAGCACTCCATGACCCTCAGTTTAGATCCTAAGATTTTTCCACTGAACTGCTGCATGACCTCTAATTCCCACAAATCAATTTCTAACATCTCAATCCAGTTTACCTCTAAAAATAAATGGTTTGTAGGCTACACATGGCTTAGAGTTTACTGCAGAGCTCCTATATGGCATTGCTATATAGTAACCACTTACCAGCAACACACTGTTAGTTTCACACTGCCCATACGGTGCTCCCTTCATTTCAGGGGTTTCAGAAGCTACAGCCTTTGCCACTTCACCCTTAAATGACTGTTTCACTGGCTCTGGAAAAGAGCATCCCAATCTCTTATTAGCATCCTTATTGCTTCATTGTAGCAACTTCCAAAGGTATACTTTATTAGAAGGAAGTTTTCACTTAGATAACACATATGTCTTTACCCTGAATCTGTTCTTTGAGCATTTTCAGTGTCACTTTTCCTGAAGATACCTAAAAATATTTATAAAATAAGAACATTTATACAAGTGAAAATATTAGAATATTTATACAAGCTTATACTAAGGTACAGGACTATAAATATTAAAGGGCTTCTAAATTGGTAATGAAAATGTACACTTTTCTAAAATGCTAGTGTTTACATGAAAAAAGCTATATAGGTTTATAACATCTGCACTGACAGCATTTATGCGACCCATCCATTGCCACCACAAACCCTCCACTGGGACCTCCCTCTCCTCAACCCCAGCAGAAATAGCATCATCTTCTCAACATATACAGAATAGCTTCCGGAGAGAGAGAGAGAAAAAAAAAAGAAAAAAAAAGAAAAAAAAAGTAAATGTCAGCACTATTTGGCCACTATTTTGAATATTAATTATGCCAGCTACTGTGGGCCAGGTGGCAAGAGAACCTGTGCTTGTGCTCTCAGCCTCCTTCTGTTCTGATTGTAAGTAAACCAACACAGAATCATCAAGAGATAAGATACTGGGCATGCAAAAGCTGAGAAATGCAATGCTCAAAAAACCTGCATATGCCAGAGAACAAACCAGAGAGAAAGATGGGAGATTTACGGTGAAAACAGATGCTGTCAGGCAAGGACAGAGTTAAAGCATCAGTGAGCTAGAGAAGAAGTTTGAAGTCGAGTATGTTTAACTCCAGTGCATTTCTCACACAGGCTATAGCTATGAAGATGGCAAACTTGTACTCAAAACTACAGAAGAAACCTGGTATCTCAGATCCAGTCATCTGTAGACAAGGTTAAATTAATTTGAAAGACAGACTCCTGATGACTCTAACTGGTATCATATTAGATTTACCATACTAACCTTACAGAAGCAAGCAGAGTTTGCTTTTACCTACTGCAAGCAGAAAACAGCAGATTACCAGTGAGTTCTTCCAGCTCAAAGGGAAACTCAGGCTTGACATGAAAAAATAAGCAATCTTTTAAATCTATAGTGAATTTGCTTATATTTTCATTTTTATAGTATTTAAATTTGGCATATTGGTACAAGTCTTCTAAATCTTGTTTTTAAATGGCATTATCCATGACTATAATGATAGTTTCTTACTTTATTACTGTTTTCTTGTTTTTGAGACAAAAGGCGAGCTTGGATGGTCATTGGTCCTGCCTGCCCATTTCTCCAGTGAAAAGCCCTTGATTTCCTGTGAACCAATACCAGCAAAAATATTACTATCCATATGTCTTCTGTAAGAACCAGCCAAAGCAGCATTGCTTCTTAATATAATTAAGGAAAACAGCTAACACCACAAAAATAAAAAGCTTTTAAGATCACCAACTCCCCAAAACAAACCCCTCCCACCCCCTTGGATTATGATTACTTTGCATCTACTTGAATAGGAATGAAAACACAACACTTAAAGCATTTATTTTTGACCACTATTATTTAAGTTTAGACATATGAAAGTTCCATCAATTCTCATGGTTTTGGAAGAACAAAAACACAACAGAAAATGATTACCCCAATCTACCCTAGGGCATGCATTCAGCACAGCTAATATGCACCATCTTTTACCATGCTAAGTGCATATAAACCTACAACACAGATTTTAGTGTACAACAGATTTGTTAGTGACTAGCACAATTGGCATCAGAGATGGCAGGGAAGGATTTCCAACTAAGCAAGAGCAGAGAGTCAGTTATAGCTTTAGCACAGAGGTTAACAGGCTCCATAGTTCCTGACATCCATTGACTTGAACAATTAAAGGTACTTTGGATACAAAAGCATTTTTTCCAGCCTGCAGAAAACAGTCTTTCTGAAAAGTTGCACAGATGCAAAAAAAGGACTGAATCACTAAGACCAGATCCTCCTCCAAAACAGAAACTAGACTGGAACAGCAGAAGAGAGGTAGCATTTCCCCCGCTTCTGCGTTAAATCTTAGATAGGAGGGGCGAAAAAATAAAAATAAAAAATAATTAAGAAAAAAAAAGGGGGAGAACAGAAGAGGAAATAATTGAGCCAAAAAGGATCTTCATCTTGAAAGAGATTTGAAGAAGTGACAGGATAGCAAGCTTATCACTGGCCAAGCTGAGAAGAGATAGATGAACAAAGCAGACAATACAACTTTGAACTCTAAATTTTGTGGGGCTGGGGGCGAGAAGGGAAGAAGGGGAAGAGGAAGGGAGGAAAGCACTGGCTCACTGAATTCTTTTTTAAATATTAATTTCACATACTTTCTTTCTTCTTTTTCTCTATTCATGTTTGATTGTAGTTGCTGTAATTTCTTTTCCATCTCCTTGTTTTCTAGTTCTAGCTGTACTTTTTCTAACTTCAATTCTCTGACATTCCTGTAGTAAAATATTAGAAATGACATGTAAGGAAATATCTGAAAATGGTAAAAGCTGCAAAACAAAAAAACATTGAGAAATTTGCCATTAAAGACAGGTCACCAGGACTGAAAACACAGCTCTGAAAAATGGAGGTCAGGTGCCTCCGTGCACCCCAGAACATCTTACAAAGCAGTTTGCTGAACCAGTACTCAGAGAATTTAGAGACTCTGCTCCCAGCAAGCAAAATATGAGAGCCTGAGGAAGAGCAATCCCTGGAAAAAGACAAAAAGCCCTTCAACAAGACAGGCTCTGATGTTAAAAAGGAACATGCTTCTATTCCGACAGGGACCTCTGCAACTCCACAGCACATGGACGTGCTAGTAAAGGGCAGCCTAAAGTGCCTGCCCTCCAGATATACAGCCCTAAGGGCAAAAAGAGTATATGGCAAAACACAGGTCGAAATAAAAATATGTTGGATTTAGGGTTTGGGAGCTTTGGGGAACAGTGGCATGGCTCTCCCAAAGAAAAATTGATACAACTGCATCAGTACTTCAAGATTTGTTAGCTACGTTATAATAAACCAGTGAATGTCTAAGTACTTATGTTTTACAAATTATAATTAGATATACAGATTCATGAAACCTGTAACGTACCTCAAAGTAGATGAAAAAAGAGGAAGGCTTATGGATAAAAGCGAAGTACTAGAAAATAAATGCATTATAATTCTTGTTGTTCCAATGCAAGCAAGTTCTTCTACTTAATGTTGCATTAAAACTTATTAAAAATGCTGAAACAACATCACTATCATCGTCAGAAAAAATGCACTTACTTGGCTTTTAATCTCACTGAGGTTCCAGCTTTTGAACCTGGGAGTACTACAAAGTCCTTGATGTTCATGATTCCCAGAGTAATCTCTTCTAAAAAGGAAAATTAAAATAATTCACAGTTAGCAACCTGTGTTCAAATGGGAATTTGATTGAAATGGAAACAGTAAAAAGTTATTACAAAGTAGAAAATATTAATGGGTGGAAAGAGAAACAGAAAGCAGAAATTGCTTACGCGTAGTAGCAATAAAATGCTAAATCAAATTTGAACTAAATACAATCAGAAAAAAACAACAACTTTTCATTACATTTATGATTCTAAGAGAAAGATTTAGCTGCCTGTTTCATTTAGGCATTCCTCTAACTTTGAGGAAGCTTGATTAGTACTAGTAAAAATGCTCCTTTCTTAAACCACACCAACAAAACCAAAGAATATAGATAATTCTCAAAAATAAAGGCTCCAAATCCAGGCAAAACCATTGTGAATGGCTTTGGAAGATAAGTATCATGCAACATATGCAGATTCATATAAAGTAACATAATAACTCATGTAGCAAAAAACCTTATCCCATACTTTCAAAAATTCAGAGACAATTTTCGAGATATTTAGTTGCTTCATTTTTTTTTTTTTTTTGCATTTCAGTGATAGAATTCTTTTACAACAACCAAGCAAACGGCACAGAGTCAGCAGACTGTTGGAAGAAACATGCTAACATTCCATTTCAAGCATAGTGCCAAGTCTGAGCTTCCATTTGTGCTGCAAAAATGCATAAAAAAAAAAAAAAACATTATTTTTCAGAGACTTACAACTGACAGGCTGTTTGGGAACTATTCTTCAACTTTTAGTTACCAGATTCCAGGTGAGAGCACTACCCAACTGAAATGATGTGGAAAAGCTTTGTATTTTCATCAGAAATATAACTGAGCTCAAGAGCAAAAGTTGTCTAGTCACATATATACTCAAAAATTACAATTAGTACATTAAAGCATATCTAAACAGCACCTGCATCCATGAAACGTGTCAGTAACATATTGTAAACTGGTTCATAGCTTCTACTGTAGCAGAACATAAAAGCAGTGACAGACACACAAATATGTTTCTTATTGTGGCTGGAAAAAATAACACTCCAGAGGTTGTCATTTCAAAGCAATTATTCAAAATTGCTTTATTCCTTTATCATATTCTAAGATGAAACAAGACTCTCTCATCTCCGAATAGATAAAGATTCTTCTATTAAGAAATACGTTTGTATGATCAGAACTACAACATCTACAGAGAAAAAGATAACAGTCTGGTTTGGGTTCAACCTGAAGACTGACATAAATGACTAAGTCGAACTTACCAAGCCCAAAGAGGAGAAAATATTTACAAAAATGGTATTTTTTAAAAATTAATATGAGTTAAAACTTCAATATGTTGCCTTGTGCCATTTAAAGTAGTTTTAAATGTTAGTTTTAGAAAGCTGCGTAAACTAAATAAAACCATGCATAAAGTAGAAAAATGTAACACTGGGGAAAAAATCCTTTATTAGTAGTCCAAATGAATTTTGTTTTTAAACTAAGCCTCCTATACAAATTAAATTTAGAGTCAGAATCAAATGCATACATTTAACTTGCTAAAGTTTGTAAATAGGAGATGAAGTGCATATTTTCCCCATTCTCACATAATTGTGTTTCAAATTCATAACTGTTATATTACAGAGCATTTAATCGATACAGGATTTTATTCAAAATCTGTTATCACTTCATTAAATGCAATTAGAAAAGTTCATTCTCAATTAAGCTGCCACATACTATCAACCATTTTCTTATATCAGAAAGACAAAGAAATTATATATGTAAATCATACTACTTTTATTATTTTCTTTTATGAATGTCACTACCAAATTACTCATTATTGTACTCAGTCAGATCTTTTTATCCGCACTCAATTATGTAAGGCAAAAACATAGTTCTTAATGCAAGGGGACCATTTTCAAAGATAATTTACACAAAGTTTCCAAACTACTTACTTTAGGAAGCGAGTTTTAGACAGGGCAACTGCAGGCCTCCACCAAACTGCTTGGCACCTAATGAGAAACATTGTTATTTAAATAGGTAACAGGTGATTAAGTGTGAATTGTCCAGAGAAAACAAATGACTACATTTATTAAGAGCCAAATACTAGAGTCAATTGTAAATTACTGTAATTGGAAGTAAACTAACTAAAGCAGACTAAATTTCTACAGCTTCTTCTCATCAGTGAACCTGTAAAATCCAAAGGGAAACAACAGTATATGGATTAACTTGCATTCAATCCTTATTATTCCAAATCAAAACACTCTTCATTTACTTTGAAGAAGAACTCTTAAGGTAATTAAAAATAATGTGGCTAGCACTGCTCCTCAAATCAGCCTTTGGTTGTAAATTATTATAATTGAATCAAGTAAGACTTTTGATTCTCCCATAATGCTTTTTACCACTAATTAGCTTTTTTAAAGTAAAGTTTAAAAAACAAACAAAGAAAAAAAAAGAACTTTTCTTAAAAAGTAAAATTTGACACAGGTGGTGTCACTGATATGACAGCATAGGGAACACGAGCTGGTCTGGAGAGACTAAGATTACATTGCTCTACCTGACTGTTGAATTTGTAAGCTAATTAAAGTTATTACATTCACTGCTTGACCCAGCAAAACACACACAACTAAAACATATCTCCCTCAGTTGTGTACATTGATAGTTTAACCAAATCCTATGATTTCAGCTGCATTTCAAGGAGCATCTTGAAACACGACCAGAATGTCCTCTTTCCATGCAGCCTACTCAAAAATCCCCCCCCAAATAAAAGTTGCCAACAGGTTACGAGGTGGGTTAGCACTAACACTACAGAACTGCAGCACCCACCTGCAAACCGTGCAGAAACGGGCGAGCGTGCAAGGAGCACGAGGGGAAACGGGCTGCATACGAGGAGCCAAGCCAGGACTTGCCGTATCCACCTCGAGCCCCAGCTAAGGCAGGTTACAGACACCAGGTACCCCACAGGACAGTGCTATAAAGGCGCAAGGAAAGGCAAGTGACGCATAAAACGAGAACAATTATCCATGTGGCACATGATTTGTTTGCCCCCCCCTTTTTTTTTTCCACTCCCTTTTTGTAAGTTACAAGTGGCTCTGCTTTCCAATAATAATAATAATAATAATAATAATAATAAAGTAAGGCAGGAAAGCCAAGGAGAGAAGGAAACAGCAGCCTTCGCCCACTCGCCGCCTCCCGCCGAGGCACCGCCCGGGGCTCCCCCGCTCCCGAGGCTCTTTCACCGCCGCCACCGACCCCGGAACGCGGCCAGGCCAGGCCGAGCCGAGCCGAACCGTGCCGGGCGTCGCTCCCTGTTCCCAGGGCAACGGCGTCCCAGGCACGCGGCGCCCAGAGGGCGGGCGCGGAGGAGGCGGCGCCATTTGACGCCGCCGGCGGCGCGGGGGGGTGAGGGAGGAGAAGGCGCCATTTTAGATCGTCCTCTGGCGCCTCCTGCGGTTCCCTCGCGGCTTGGTGTGCGGAAAGAAACGTGCTCGCGTAGCGGGTTTCTGCCGTTGTGTGGGGCATAACTGTACAAATACAGAGCAAATCCCCTCGGTGATCCTTGTATTCAGCGCTGTGCTTCAATCAGAAGGGGCAAAGGGGGTGTGCGAAAATCTTGGCAACAGCAGAGTTGGCCCGAATTGATGGCGTTTTTCCCTCAGTCAGGACGCACAGGGGCAATGGCTGCATTCGCTCAGACCTTGGCTCTTCTGGGCGAAGGCCCCAAGTCAGCGCAGAGCTGTGTCAGAGAAGCGGCCGCACTCCTCAGCCGCAGGCCGTGTTGTCCCAACCCATTTCAACCGTTATTCCCTCAAATGATGCCTACCATGCATGGCAGGATGATCATTTTTTGATCAATCACATTTTCCAGTTTATTTGCTTCAAGTTGAGCCCTTCCACTTTGGCTGTCTAGACCGTTATTTATAATTGATGCTCTTTGAGGAAAAAAAAAAGAAAAAAAAAAGTATTTACAGAAAAGCTGACATTTCAGGAAAAAGCTCTTCATTTATGATCCAAGCCAAGCTGTAATATGTGCAAATTACTATCTGTTTAAAATTTATGCACTATGAGCTGTGCTTCATTTGGAAAATTTGCATTTGTCCCATATGTATTCAAGCTAGGAGGCACAAAATAAGTTGCACGGTTTTTCTTGACTGTATAATCTGTCTGGCAGTAATTTTCCCTCATCATTGTGGTTACAGTACAGTTTTCAAAATTTTACCCTGACAGGCAATTTGTGTTGAGAGCTGGTAGAAAACATATGGATTTTTTTTTTTGATCTTTAGAAGGCGCCATAGTTTGCATAATGTATATGAATCTAAAAATACGTCCCAATACTCTTTCTTTTTAAACAAATTTGGAGTTGTTTTCTACTCTGTGAGCTGTTTTCATGGAAGAAGCATAAACAGCTAATCTACCTAAACAAAATAGTTCCAGTGACCATTCAAACAGTAACCACCTTAGGCTTAATTATTTAGGAATAAATGAATACTTCAGGCCAATTAGCGTCCTGGACAGTAGAAAATAATATTCTTTTGAGGAGATATTTAACCAAAACTCACCTTTAAAAGCAACCAATATCTGAATACAGAGGAGGTTATATCCTAAGCCCCAGGATTTTTTATCCTGTTTTTGTTATGACTGAGGAGAATATTCGGTGTGAACTGTGCCATTGTCAATACAGCTGATAAGTGTTTGGGCCAGCAGCATTATTTTGTAGCATATGTGCATGTTCTTTCCCATACGAAACAGGAAAACCCGACAAATGGAATTCTTCTTATCACCTTCTATGTCAATGCTTTTCTGCAACATATACATGGGAAACTTATATTGAATGAATATAAAAGTACCGTTATTGATGATGAATTATATCCCAATCACTGGCACTGTGTTCAAGACTACTTTTTATTACAAAGTTTCCACTAGGAAAAATGCAAATCTCTCAGTTTTCTGTGGGAAAAAATACCATTCGGCTGTCAGAACTTAAATGATTAATACTAATAACTTTTGAGTCATTTTGTTTGTATTCTCTAGTGCTTAGTTCTTA